GTCCGTTCAAGAAGCCGATATGTTAGCAAACGTCTAACATTACGGTTCAATCAGTCAACAGGAAAATCAAAATTTACTGAAAAACAGATAATGAGTTCAAATAGTTACAATTATTATTTCATTCAAAATAGTAACGAAGGGGGATTAAAGGAGAAAATAATTTTCAAAATGCAATTGAACAGTTTTGAAGGATGAAATCGCCGAAGACAATTTTTCTGAGCTTCATATTGTTTTCGCATTAAAGGCTTCTTAGCCCTACTTTTGATTTCCTAATTATGTTATAGATAAGTTATGTGACTTTCATGAAATATTTATTTGAAAAAAAGGAATTCATTCTTCTCACTTGATAATAAAACAAAGAGAGTCTATTTATTTTTGTGAATAAAGCTGAAAGGAAGTTGTGCTCTAGCAGAAAATTACCATCAACCTGCGGGACAAAGACACACTTTGATCACATTAGACAGAAAATATTTTTATCCGTTTATGATTCTTTTAAATATTTTTCAAATTTATTAGTTTTTAGTGAATTCCCTTCAAGTTATTTTTTCTTCACCGGTCAAAATCAGCTAAAAGTAAGACTATCGGAAACTAAAGACCATTAAACAGCTATTTTCAGTCCTGTTTCAGACTTCACATCGATCTGACTTCAATAATTCTCTTGAGATCTTGTATAAATTACTTCGATCTCGTGTTAAGCACTTTTTTGGTGATTTATCTTACAGAAGTCATATGACATGGTGTTACTTCATATAGGGTCTTCATCAACTGCATAGTTGTGATTTATCTAATATGGTAAAGCTATAGTCATAGAGTTGTTCAATTCTATCAAGAGAATTAACTCTATGGTGGAAGACAATGACTTGCGATTTCAGCTTACGGGGATTCATATAACCATCAAAAAATAACAACAGTGTCATATAACGGGATTTAGAGAAATACATGCGAAAGTTAACTGCAGACTTGTTGTGGATTGATCCATATTGGTTAACAATATCAAGGGGGTTGTTTTAATACATGTTTAGTTGATTTTGTAAACAAATTAAGAATTTAGCGAAAGCAATATTACCGTTAATGTTTATTTTTTATTGATTTTCTAGTAAATGTCTTAGCAAACTATAACATTAAAATATGCTAGAATTCGAGATTATAGCTGAACGAGTTAAATCGATTGCTTACTCTAAATCAAGAGTATATCACATGAATGGCATGTTCGCTATGTGTGGAACAACAAGTCAGTATCTATTAGAAGTGCAAATCAAGGTGTGTTTCATTCATAAAAATAAAACACTTCAAGACATGTTGTTTATCTGTGGCTATAGTAAACTGTTAGTATGTAAAGACACAATGAACAATAAACTGCTGACTCATTCAGAATTAATTCAGAATGGGAGCAAGAATCATTTTATAGAACTCGAAGAAATCGTAACAGTAAAAGCAAGCAAAAGAATAAATTACTTATTCACTGAGTTCTACAAGGATAAATGAGAATAATCTTCAAGAAGAATGCTGGCGAGTTATTAGTTTGAAGTTACGTAATGAAAACGCTTGTGAAATAAACCGAGGAAGCTATAAAAATTGAGCAGAGAAAGAGCAAACATTGGTACAGGATAACATGGATCCATTTTATTTCGCTGGTTCTTTTCAGCTGTATACAACCTTTGGTTTGTTGAAGCTATCACAATAAAATGGCTGAAACCTGACCAATTTGCCCAAAAGGAATCTGTCGTTGGACTCCAATTACCCTGATGACTCATCCCTTAATAACTCACGGTCTTCTAATTTCATTAGCACATCTTTTCAACGCCTACCCCATCGCCTCATTTTTTTGTTTGACTTCCATAAGAGATACATTTTTTTTCTTGCCCTTATGAGTTCCACTCACCGTATTACATGATTATCTTTTCATCTGACCTCTTGAACGCCAAATTTCGATCTTCTCTCATCTAACTATGTAATTGTTACTAATTTTTGTTACCACCCTAACAAGAAACTTGTCGATCAATTTTGTAGAAACTTCCTTCTAATAAGATATATATATATACTTGCATTTCAGCCATCTTGTCATCCTGATATCTTATCTCACCATTACATTCTTATAATATGCTTGTTGATGAGGAAATTATGTTAGACTTTATTTTGACCTTCATTTATTAAAGATTATAGGTTGTGTGCAGATGATGAGAACCAACGAAATAAAATGGATCCATGTTATTCTACAGCGATGTTTGTTCTTTGTCTTTTCAAATTTATAAAAGGGAATTCTTTAATGAAACTTTATAGAAATTGATTGGTAGGATGAATTATTTCTCAGAAATTGACTTTGCGGATGGTTTCCTTTACGTATTAAAATCAGCCACATGACATCGATGGTTGTTACCTTCCAGATGGACTGACTCTACTTTAGTTTGTTTATGATCTCAAAAGAATGATGAGATATCGTGGTGAGCATATTACAATTTAGCTTCATAATTAGAGATTATTGAGCTATTATATATTTATAGAATAGTTTCACTATAAACGAATGTCATCGACAGACACAGAAGCAATAGGTCGACAACCCTAATATTGTTCTTTTTGTTTTATTCCTTTTCGTTCTTAGTGGGATATAGGATTTCAAACTAGTACTTTTAAGTTTCGGTAGCAGTGGTAATTATTTTTGCAGGATGGGATTGCTAGCCTCATGCCTAACCTATCGTCTTTACTGGTCTTATTACCGGCTTAGCGGAGTGCGTCGGCCGAAGATCGAACCCTGAACCACATGCGTGGTCGGCAAGTATTCTACAGCTGTACACCTGACTTACCTATGACCCTAATATATATATATATAACACCTATCACAAGTCGGTAGACTGAACTCTGTAGACTGACTTCTATCTAGGAACTGATAAAATGACCTCAGATAGTACTACAGAAATCAAAAGGTTGATACATCAAAAGAAAAAATAATAGTCTCTAAAAAAATATACTAATCTCATCAACGTCATTTATCACTAAATTGACAAAAGTACCAGGCATTCATAACACTTTCCAGTCAACATTAGAAATAATGTAACATATCATACTTCATACATATATAACTCCGGCATGGTGTTTCTGCTGAAATATGTCTATGTGTGAGAGTTACAAAGGAATACTTAACTATTAGAAATTTAAATGAACAAAAGTTCACTTTCCTTGTACGAAACCTGCATTAATACATGAATAGTTAAGAGAATGAATTTATGATGCAGACCTTAGTGATACTCTTCACTGTCAAATTTATAACAAAAGTGTATTTGTATAATATGAATGGTATATTATGTGTATGAATAGTCTGTACAGTCATAGCTTCAAAATACTCATCAATAGCTTATGAAAGGAAATACTCAGTAGTCTGATCAATATTTCTTCAAAAAATAGTTCCACTGACCCCACAAGTAAGCAGTTACAGATTTCTGTCATCAAGAAACGTTTCAAGACACATATACACATCGATGACACTCAATATTCTATGCTAACGAAAGCAGGATTCAGCTGATAAGAAATTCGTAACTGCCAGATTAATATTTCATACCAGTAAATGAATTCATCGATAATTGTACTAATTCGTGTAGGAGAGCGTAAATGTTATTATAATAATATAACTTGGGCACTGTAGTTGGGTATAATTTCATTGTGGGCAAAATTTATTTTGATAAAGTCTCACAGTGTTATACAGTAATATTTACTGATGACCACATTTCGAGCATAATTTATTGCTCATAATTATATCAAGGTACTCATACAACTTTCTGATTTCGTTTATCTAATTCAATTATTCTTCGTCTCTTCATCTGATTGGTAGCGGTGTTTTCTGTACATTTGGTAATTTTGCTGAGTCATTCCTATTGTATGTGTTGGTTGTTGATTCTGTGAACAAAGATTCAGTAGGATTCTTAACAAAGCAAGGTCAAACTAGTAGATTGGGAGTAGTCAGATTGTCAGAATATAAGAATTTAGCTAGACCTAGAATGATTGACCCTACGAAGATAAGTAATTTAGAAAAACGCTCAGCAAATGTACTGCATGCATTAACACACAACCATACAATAGGGTGTGAGAGGGTTAGAATTCTAAAAGATAATGTAAGTAGGTAGAAAGAGAGGTTGATTACTGAATCTTTGTTCATCGAATCTTCACCCAACACATACAACAGCAATGACTCAGCAAAAGTATCAGAAATATAAAAAATATTATTACCAATCAAATCCAGAGATGAGAAATAGTGGAACCACATAAACGAAATTTGAAAGCTGTGTGAGCAACTTGATACGATTATGAACCAAAAATTGTGCTCGGAACGTGGTCATCAGTGAATATTACTGTATAACATTGTGGGGCTTTATCAAAATCAATTTTGTCTATAATGGAAGTGTAAATGTCAAGTGACCACAGAAGGCAAAGGTTAAGAAATTCAGTTGTTATTTCCTAGAACTAATAATCATGATGTAAGTGCATTCATATCCTATTTTCATCTTATGAGTTAAATGCAATTTTTAAACACCTCACTTATTTCTGTAGTACCATCTAGCTACTAAAGCATAGGACTTAATCACTACTTGGAACAATAAAACGTCTAAATATCATGCGCACAAAACTGAATTAGCGTACATCAAGGTATCACGACAATGCATTCGAGTACATAAAATCAGACTAATCATTTGAAAACCTGAACAGTTCAAGGTGGGGACCCATCATAGTTTCTTTTGGAAATGCAAAATATGGGAATTATCATATGCTAACTCCTTGATACCACAAAAAGTAATTATGAGATTCAGACAAATAGCATGGCGGTAATATTTAACGGATTGATACGACTAGTTGGAAACCAGTCACAGTCACCTTGTGTTTAAATCACTTCGATCTAGCTAGCAAGCATTACTGGTTTCTGATGTGAGTAATTTCCAACTAATCATATCAGTTTATAGTATAAACCACAATCGTTAAAAGAGTATAAAATTGAAAGATATCTTTTGACTTACCAGAATAAAAGTTTACAGACAAAACTATCCTCAGTCTCGTATGAATGGTAGGAATGGGTTTAGCTAAACCATGAGTTACATCAGCATGATTTTATAAAAGTAAATTTTTTCTAAATGTGAAACCACTTCAAGGCACAAAGCCTAAAGCAAAACAAAACCAAAATATTTCAAAATATATGTCTAAAACAAATTGTCCAATCATTTGACAAAATGCTCGATTATACATAGGGCTAGTAAGTCATTGTATGACAGACACATACAATTATGTATTATTATAGACAGATATAGTATATTTGATTCCTATTGGGTCTTATAAATCATGTGATTACCTCCCTTTCATCCAGATAACGATCACCGTTTATACATTTGTAAATGCATGACGCGTACACGCCATGTCCTCTATTCTAGGAGGATATTGAGAGATCACCGCAAAAATTGCTAGCTGAGGGAAACATCTCCTCGACCAAGCTTGTCTGCGGTTTCAAATTCTGTCACATGTTTTCAGAATTAAGACTATATAACCGCGTGTAACTGTAGTCAAAATGAAGCCATAAGTGTGACATAACATCTAATATCATAGAGTGGTATAGTCAACTTTTACAATAAATAAACGATGAGAAATCCCAGTGAGATATAAATTATTCCCAGGATTTAAATATGTAAAGGAGCATGTGGAAAATATTCTCTTCACAAGAGAAATATGTGACACTGAAAGTTTGTTCATCTGCAGTCAGCTTGAAGCTGTCACCACTCCCATATCCGTTAACCATCATTACCAAAATGAGGAATGTGAAGTAACCGAAAGAATGGAACAAGTCTTTTTTTAATGAGTTGAAAGTCGCCATCGAATCGCTATAATGTATGAAGGAATCTTTTTTATATAAATACTGTCGCGATTTAAAATTTTTTTGATTTATTTGCCTCATTTATTTTGTTTGGATGAACCTTGCCGATTGTTATGTAACTACTCCTGCTTATGTGTGAATTCACCTCTAAGTTCGACAACATTCCTCTCTTTACAATAAAAGAATGTCTCTACTTCGATCATATTCTTTCTCTTTCTAACTTTCTGTTTACTTTTAACATTGTATTTTTTTCCAGATGTTTATTTTGATCTCCAGCACTGAGGTTGGTTATTCATTTAATGTATGAGAAGAATTATGTCACAGTGATAGATTATGTATGTGATTTTTTAAAGTTGATTGCAGATGCCGAAATTCTTACGAAATAAAAGAAGTCCGTTTGGTCCTAAAATAGCTGCTTTCAGTGAGGTATTCAGGAAGTTTTGTTTAGTTTGTGTTGTCTCAGTTTTCTAATTCCTTTGCCATCTGGGTGAAACGTAGAGCTTTAAGCTATAGAGTTTTAGTAACAGCATTAATTTTAGAGGAGTGAGGTACTAGTCTCAAATGTGCGTCGGTGGCACAGCGGTTAGGACTCTCACCAGCCATGCACGTGGTCCAAGGTCCGATCTCCTGCCGACGCACTCCCTATATCAATGGGTGGCCTGCAAAATTTGCGCTACCGATATCACATACTGAAGATTCCATACTTGTACCAAAAATACGGTGTAGAGTCAAGCTCTAATAAGAAATAGTTAGCAATAACTTTACATAATTGAATTTCGTCTTCACTAAAGTTTTACAAACTAAATTGTAAGTTTCGATAAAATAAGAAAGACCACTTGTATGGAATGCAATTGTTTATTATCCCCAAATAATCAGTGAATTGTTACTACGCTATAGTCCAGCAATCGCTGACTCAGGAGATTGCTTAAGTCAAGTTACCACTCCATCTCAATGGATATATGGCCAGTGGGTTAATCTGGTAACCTGAAAATCTAGAGTACGAATGCCGAGGTGGTCCTGAGCGTATACACATAAAGCACCCCAAACTTGAACGAGACAGGTTTCTATTACTTCCTTGTTTCCAGTGGTTCCCAACTTGATGTAAATCCGTGATCAAACTTGAAACTAATCAAATCCCAGCAAACCAACACCTAGAACTTTTTAATTACATAAATTAGAATGACAATGTATTCACGACATGTAAAATTTGTCATTTTAAAATAATGACGGGAATACTAATCAGGTAAACTATGGGGAAATAGCTAAAACGATATAGAAATTCCCGTTGGCAAATAAGTTCTCTCCAAAGAATTAAATTCCTCACCAATACTTGGTAGAACGATCATGAAAATTAGCAGAAAAAAATGCGATAAAAATTATGAAATAATTTGAAATTCATTCATATGACTAAATTGAATAAAGTTAACTATGCATCAAAAATTCAAAGTCACTTAAATTCAATTTCATGCCTACTTGCAGTTTTCTTAGCAGTGTATATTCAGAAAATTGCCAGAGGGTATGTCAATGTTGGATGCATAACGAGACGTGTGCGCGTTGATTCATATAATCATTTCAGCCTTCAGCTGCCTATAATTGGCATTTTATGCCTGTTTATGATACTGAATGTGTACTAAATGACATCCATGGGCTTCTTTTAATGCGTTGGAAATGCTGCATCTTACCGATGTGAGAAATCTATTTCGAGGTATGTCAGTCACGAAACAGATGTTGAATGCTTTCTGATTTCAAATGATTCTTTCATCTAATTTCATCTGGTTGATAAATCAGTCGTATCTTCTCAAAGCAAACAACTTTAATTCATATTACTGTCAACAGATATATTGATGTGACTTACGATAAATAACAGATTGGAAAATCGCTGGTTTGATGATATTCTGCTTGTTAACATATCACAAGTCATGAAGAAAAATTTACAAAATAATTTTGACAACAGAGTGAAGAATCAACCATTTGGCCAAAACAATCTGTCTGGGAAAGCTAATGAATAGCTGAGAGGATAATCTTAATGGATATAAACAGAATGACAAATCACCATTACACAGACACAGAGAGATCAAGTCAAAAGTAGGACTTTCATAGTTTTCAACAATGTCATTGCATTTTACAGTATTAAGTTTATCCTCAGGTCAATGCCTAACATATAATCAATATTATGTCCTAAAAACATCTCACACCAACTACATTTCAAACTAAAATTAATATCTCCCTTGAGCATATCTTAGCATTTGTAGGAAAAATATTAAGAAATCATTTATTTTGCACTAGCCTACGAATTCATTTATACGACTTTTATGTATCAACCAATCTAATGACTAGATGGACTCCAGATAAGCTGAGTTCGTGGTTTACAAAGGAAAATGTAATGGAATCTAGCAGATAGATTCCACTTAGTTTCACTGTTTTACTTAATGACTAAGAATTTGTAAGTATTTGTTTTACTTTGAGTTCTGATATGGTAAATCATCCTTAAATAAACCCAAAGAACATAACATGAATAATGACCGGAATATTGCATCAATTCTAGGGAATTGGTTGCATGTATACAAAAGGCTCATTTAGGATTTACCTCGTGGCGTAATCCTTGGCACAAATTTAAAATCAGACCACTTATCAGAGAATGAATGCGTTGCATAGCATTTTTTGGTTCTGTAATTCATTTCTGCAAGTCAAGGTCACTGAAGACAGAAAAATAATGAGGAGATAAGAAGTGTATGGTTAGAAATTTCTTCGTTCAGTTTGTCACCGTAGGTGCGGTAGCATGCTAAGTAATACTAATTTTGTGGGAGAGTTATAGGTGAAGTGAACAGGCCAATTATTAATATGAATTTCGATTGACAAAGGTGACTAGGACATGTGTTATGTAATCTGAACTTTTTTTGTTGTAGTTGTGTTCTCTGAGCTGGATAGTTTATTTGCGAAGCTTTCATTGCCCTGCTAGGCAACATTTCCAGCGCATACTTCTGTTTGCAGTGAGCTTTTAGATTTCTCCACGAGTTTATTAGTTTATTAGACGTCACACACAAACCAACAAAATCACTTCACTCGGCTTTATGTCAGCCAAAATACTCAACAACGAAAGAAGATAAAACCAACATCATCTACAAAATAAATTGTAACAACTGCAAAAGCACTGCCCTTCGTCTTCTTATCTATGACCATAAACTAGCCATCAAAAGACATGACATCCACTCCCTCATATCACTACATACAGCAAACCATGGGACAACGTTCAAATATTAGACAGAGGAAACACCAAAAATGCTACAGAATTTTTAGAAGTCTGGTATTTTCGTGAATCGTCAATCAATAGACACATCGAGATAGAGAAAATTTACCAACCGATGTGAAGGAAATCTCACACACAAAGGGTCAAAGTTCAAGTCAAGGAAACAATCAGCATCAATACTAATACAAGTAGCCTAGAGGGTGTTAAAACACACAAAAACAACCAATCACGTCCAAGGTCACCAGGATAGATGACTAATAAACTCGAGGAGAAATCTGAAAGCTCACTTCAAATAGAAGTATGCTCTGGAAATGTTGCCTAGCAGGGCAATGAAAGCTTCGCAAATAAACTATCCAGCTCAGAGAACACAACTACATCAAAATCGTCCACCTGAGCTACAAATCTTCTCCATCATATCTTAACTGAACTATCACCTCTATCTACTATCAATATTACTGAAATGGGATTCGGTTGAAAAAGAGTTAGTGATGGTCAGACGAAAAAAAGACACTAATCCATGAAGTTATTGACTGGTGGTAGGAGCTATGTAGATAGGGGTCAACCGAAAGGCTGAGGTACACCAGATTATGAGAATTACTGGTTGCGGACGTAGGTCAAAGCCGGGTCCAAGTGTGTATATGTATTTGCTACTCTTCATCTTTCAGATTTAAAAGTTACCCAGTAATTTTCATTTAATTGTTTAATAATAATAATAAAGCTTTATTTCAGACAGTATGTGAACACATAGTACAAGAAACTTTCAGAGTATTTAGTTCCGAAATATGTCCTCTTCATACAGCATTTACATGTAACATAATAATCTGAAGTATATCATATGACGTAGTGTTGTTGCATAGGGAAACGTAATCAATTCTGTACGTGTTTTCTTCATTTCCCCCAGGAATTGTACAGCTTTTAGTTGGAAGCTAATGAAATGTGCACGTGGCTTCATGCAGCAACCATTTGATATAATTGAGTGACTTAAACAATGAGAAATGCGTAGCACTGAAGAGTCCTAAACTAGAACGAAACAGCTGTCCAATACTCTCAGGTTTTCCAGTGGTTCTCCAACCCATGTCAGCTCATGATGAAATCCTCC